TGGTGCGGGCATGTGTATATTGTGTGTTGTGCGTGCATCAACTATACACTTTCACTGTACTGCTCTTGTGTGGCCATCGGAGCCTAGTGTACAGTGGTGCGAGTTTCATGGTGGTGGGGAAATTCGACACAAATCCTGTTGCAGCATCGGTGCACCGGTAAACATTTGCAAACGGGTCCTCCCAGCGCTAACGGGCACCCCCCCGCCCACAACGGACACCCCTGACCGACGAACGGGCACCACTCCCGACTAACGGACGTTCCCGACAAATCGGCATCCCCCCCCACTCACGGGAACTCACAGGCCCACCCCTGGTGGTTCGGGGCACCCCCTCTCGACCAACGGCACTCCCCGTAAACAACGGGCACCCCCCCTCCATTATAGGCACTCCCCTGTGCTTACGCACACCTCTTGGCGCCGTGTCTGGACGATGTAGCGCTCCAGGTAATGATGCAGAATGCACCGTATTTCCCGGACAAATACACATTATTCCGTGATGACATGCAAAGTGTTGATCAGCTACGCTCAGCACTGTATTTCCTCGCCAGATTCACTGCATTCTCTCATCAGGTACCCCGCATTTTCTCGTTTTTTCACTATATCCTCCAATCGAATTTGCTGAATCTCCTGATCCGATTCACTACTGTGTTCCCTGACCATTTTCACTGCCTTGTATTCCCTCCTCATTTTCACTGTACTCCCTCATCAGATACGCCGTTTTACCTGGCTAGGTTCATTGTTTTCCCTTTTTCGGACACTAGAATATATTTGCATATCATACAAGCTGTATTCACTGATGATAATCACCCTATTCCCTGACAAAATTCACTGCAATCCCTCATCATATTCACTTCATGCTCTCATCAGACACGCTGTATTCCTCTTTCGGGTTCACAATTTTCCCTTTGTCAGATACATGCACTGTATTTGTTGATCACATACGCTGTACACCCTGAGTAGATACACTGGGGATGCCACGAACACGCGAGGGGGGTGCCCGTTGTAGTCGGGGCGAGTGCCCGTTAATGGGGGGGGGGCGAGGGGGGGGGTACTCATAGTCGTGCATGCCGTAGTCGTTAGACCATTGACCTCGCATCCCTACAAAGCCGGGACGGAGCACGCCGGGTTCTCACCGGACCAGGCTCTCACATCACCAAGCGCGAAGCGCCGTGAGATATTCGGCGAGTCGCATGAAGGGTGCGCTGCATCCTGCTAAGGGTGTTCGGCATCTTGTGCTTACTTCCTTGCGTACGGATGACAGCTGCGTATGAATTAATTTATTTTCTGGTGCTTTCACTTCCAGAGACAGTTGTAAGCTCTGTGTAACTGCCTCGAGGGTGCTTGACCATTTTAACACAACGTGGTGCGATCATCCCCCTTGCGCGGAGCGAGGGTTCTCCACCCCGCACAACATGATCTACTCGACCACCATTATGGTTACCGCCAGTAAAATAACCAGAGGTAAAAAAAACAACGGTAACCTGGTTGCCGAGTTCACGAAGTGAATTGGCTTGTTTTGCAATGTCGTTGCCAAGCGACGGAACCCAATCCCGATGGCAAACACCGGGGGGGGCGGCTTGTTTTACAACGTCGTTGCCAAGCGACGAAAACCCAACCCCGATGGCAAACACCGGGAGGGGCGGCTTGTTTTGCAACGTCGTTGCCAAGCGACGAAAACCCCACCCCGATGGTAAACACCGTTAATGGGGGGGAGTGCCCTTTTGTCAGGGGTGGTGACCGTTGGTGGAGCGGCAGTGCCCGTTGTGGGGGTGAAGTGGCCGTTGGGAGGGGGAGTGCCCGTTAGCCCGGGGAGGTACCTGGTGGAGAATAATACCCCGTATCCAGGGGGTGCTCTATTCTGCCACCAGTCCCCCACCTGTGGGGCACATTCCACCGGCCGTGGTAGCACCCGAACCCACCCCTCTGGGCTCAACAATGGGCCATGCGATAGCCCTATAGCACAGCATCACAGTTGAGCGTGTCCTGCGTCGACTGCAGTCTTGTATGACGACATACAGCTAGTGGGGTAGCTGTGTAACCCATCAATGAGGAAGGCTGGGTGTTTGTAAGTAAGTGTGGCTGGAATACTTCATGTGCTGGTCGCCTTACTAGCTGCCAGCTGCCGTGCGCTGAGCGTGCGTGTTCCTTACACTCCTACCGTCGATTGGATTCTTGTAGGGCTACATGAGAGTCTGCCTGCAGAAAAACAGAAGGCAGTTTTCGCTACGCACGTCAAGTGATTGGCTCAATGCCGCGAGAGTTCCTGACCTGTTCGTCGCCCCAGTCGTGGCGTGTGCCTGCGCGCTGTGCGTGTATCGACCGCAAACTCCTGGAGGTGCTTGCGTGTCTATCGGAGCCTTGTAGAGAGATATCCAACTGGTGGGGTCTACAACATAATCTACCCCACCGGTGGGGTAGCGGCGCATGTTCCCAACCGACTGTGGCACCACCGAAACTGAGCCATGTCGGCCTCACGACGGGTCCAATGGTAGCCCTGCAACGCCGCAACACGCTTGTCCTGTGCTGATTGGAGTCTTGTAGAGCGAGCTACAGGTGGTGGGGTGTTGAAGGATTAACCGCCCCACCGGTGGGGTAGCGGCGCATGTTCCCAACCGACTGTGGCACCACCGAAACTGAGCCATGTCGGCCTCACGACGGGTCCAATGGTAGCCCTGCAACGCCGCAACACGCTTGTCCTGTGCTGATTGGAGTCTTGTAGAGCGAGCTACAGGTGGTGGGGTGTTGAAGGGTTAACCGCCCCACCGGTGGGGTGGTCAAGAAACTACCCCACGGGTGGGGTGTTTAGCCGTGCCGTTTATTGTTCCTACAATATATTACAAGGTGGAACGATTGGCCCCCCGCCCCCCAGTGGGGCGGGCGGCCAGTGTGCGTGGGATAGGTGCGGCGGTTTGATGGGCAGAGCGAATAGAGGCAATGACGACATCGATACGAAAGAAGGGTAACTGTTGGAACCGATTTGGGTCCGCACTACTGTACGTCCGTTGCGCAGATAGTCGCGTGTTCTTAGTGGTGGTGTTTCGGATGTAGCTACATTCGGTCGATGCACCCACCCCTCAAACAGAGACAGACAACAATGCGTACATATTGCTGCAGACCAAGAGCGACCAATCCCATCGTACGTACGTGCGAAGCGTCGAGAGCGATGCTTGAAACCAATGGCCTTCTGCTAGCAACATACAAGAGAGGGAAGCAAGAAGTGCACCAATCCTCATCGATATATCCATCTCCGACACGCAAAGCGATTGACTTGCGGGTGCTTCAATGCGTGAAAAGCTTTGTCCACCCATCACCAGTCAACGCTGTCAAGTTGTTATTGGTGTTTCAGATATGTTTTTTTGAGCGAACAAGTATTTTCTCTTGAGGAACTGCGAATGAATACCTCTCTGTCCTTCGTTCCATCATCGGTGTTTTCTTTGTGAGGAGCGCGTCAAACTCATCATCGCATCAATTTTCAGTGAGATTACAGCTCCACCTTCGTCTGTCTGTCTGCGGCAGATATTCACATCTTTCCACAGTCAGGAAGGAGCGTCCCACTTGCTGTGTTCAATTGACATTTCTCAAATAACTTTCGTGCCCTCCTTACACAGAGGGCGGCCGAGCAAACGAAGGACGGGGGTGGTGGTGGCCCCCCGCGCCCTGAGGTCTTGTACTTGCATACCATTTTTTCCATGTACTTTTAAGTAAGAAATGTATCACGACACGGTGAATGTCGCCGGTGTTTTTTCGAATACAAATAGTCCACCGGGAATGTTGTGCATGTAATCAAAAGTTTTCAAAAAGAACGAAATACTTGTGGACAATACATACATGGACAGCTGGACAACTGGAAGGGAGACTTGGGCAAATCAAGGTTGTTCGCGTAGTTCGGCAGCAGCAACAAACCCATGGCTCACAGGTTGACGCAAGGTCGTGTTTCATGGTTGGTGGGGCCCGCAACGAGGGTCCGGTACCACACGCTCTTTTGGACACTGCTCGTTGTCGTGTATGTACCGGTCTCGCCGTGGTGGGATTGTTTGCTGAGATGGCTACAGCGGTAGACTGTCGTATGTAATGCGTGGATGATTGGTCGGATGCTGCTGTAGAAACACATGTTTGAAGGGCCGGAAACACAGAAGCAGGCTTAGATAGATAAATGTGGACGGGGCCTAAACCATCACACGGATGTCACCATTGCAGCTTTGAACATGTGTTACAGGACTGTGTATTGTAGCAACGCCGGAGGAGCGAGTTTCACTGCTGATTGATTGCGCGACCAAAAAAAGGCTCCGATCCATCATCAATCACCCACCACTCCCGTTGCTGCTGCTGGTGCTGCCGTGCGGACGTGCACTTCTTGCTCCCCTCGCTTGTATGCTGCTAGCAGAAGGCAAAAGTAGATTCAAGAATCGTTTCCGACGCCTCGTACATACCATGCATTTGGTCGCACTTGGCCTACAGCATGTAATGTGTACGCGTCGATTGGTGAGTGCGTCGTCCGAATGTATCCAAAACAATACATCTAAGCACAAGTTCATGACTGCAGGTGCCTGTGCAAAGGCTTGTCTGCAGGAGCAGCGTGTCACTTGGCCCGGGGGCGTCGCATTGAAGTGCCAGTCGTCGGGTCGAAGGAGGAGTTCCATGAAGATACGCAAGTTTTCGGTCGTATCCACAACACACCAAAAACAAAGGTTGAGCGACCATACTTTTTAATTTTTCCCATACTAACACTTCGAAATGTGTCACGACACGACCGCCATCCTGTAAGTATATATATAACATGATACTTCCTTGGATTGGCATCAGACAACCAACTCTCCCTGACCAACACCTACTTCCGGACACCGAAAGGTGGAGTGCACCACACATTCCAGAGCTCCAGTAAGGGGAAGGAGAAGTACCGCCTCGATTTCATCCTCGTGCGTCCGACGGACCGGCGTTTCGTGCGTAATGTCTCCGTCAAACGTGTCGACTTCAAGGACTCTGACCACAACCTCGTGCTTATGACCGTCCGCCTCCCCCCCCGTGTCGCACCCAACCGACCAGTGCGGGGGAACAGCGGAAGCAGCCGGATCCCTATCGACCTCAAGCGGATAACGAAGGACAAAGACCTACGGGTCGCCTCCCAAAACAGGGCCTCCAGCCGCCCTCCGCCCACGGCGCTCAGGCGGCCAACGGGAGAGACCGCCGCCGAGCTGACGGCTACGGTGATGTCGGCCGCTGCTGAGACGGCGCCACTGGCGAGGTGCGCACGAGGGCAGAGAGGCGGGTACTCGAGCGGAGTGCAGCACGAGATCTCCGAAGCGTCAAAAGCGATAAGGGCGGCCCAACAGCAACTGCGTGTGGCCTCAAAGAACAGCGCCTTCGAGGCGACCCTGAAGGCGATGCTCAAGGCGGCGCGGAAGAAGCGCAGCATCGCGAGGTGGAGAGCACTGGAAACGTTCTTCGAGGGCTATGTACGGCAGCTCGAGAAGAAGAGCCGCGAGGGGGATCAGGCGGGTTTCTACAGGCACCTGAAGATGATCGACGTCGAAGGTAAGAGGTCGTTCACCTCTCAGAACATCAAGGACGAGGACGGCAAGGTCCTTCGGGACCCCACGTTTATTCGCCAACGGTGGGCACGGTGGTTCCACAAGCTTCTCAACACCAAGTCGCCGACCATCGACCTGCATGCGGCTGACAAGGTCAAGCGGTGGCCCACGTGCGTGCCACTCGACGACATCCCATCTCTACTTGAGGTTGAGGAAGCGGTACGGGAAATGGCCAACAGAAAGGCCGTCGGGCCGGACGACCTACCGACCGAGCTGACCAAGCCTTTCCTGGACGGAGATCAAGGTCTCCTCCGCGAGTTCCACGCTACTGTCGTGGACGTGTGGCAGACGGGGAACGTACCACAGCAGTAGAAGGATGCCACTATCACAGTGCTGTTCATGAAGGGGGACACGATGGAGTGCGGCAACTACCGGGGCATCTCTCTCGTCGCACACGCCGGCAAGGTGCTGCTTAAGGTCGTCGCTACACGACTGAGCCACTACTGCGAGCGAGAGGGCATCCTCCCAGAGGAGCAGAGCGGTTTCCGCCCACACCGATCAACGCTCGACATGCTATTCGCCATCCAGCGGCTCCATGAGCTCGCGAGGAAGAAGAGTACTGCGGTGTTCGCGTGCTTCGTCGACCTCACCAAGGCATACGATTCGGTGGACCGAGACCTATTGTGGGACGTGCTCCGACGCTTCGGCGTGCCCCCGAAGATGCTGGCGGTCATTCGCCACTTCCACGAGGGCATGAGGGCGCACGTGCGTCCGAACGGTGGGCAGTACTCGGAATGGTTCGACGTGAGCCAAGGCCTCCGACAGGGATGCAACCTGGCCCCGCTGCTGTTCAACTTGTTCTTTGCCGCGATTCTCATGGTCGCCGTGGCCGAGTTCGACAAGGACCCCAAGGTGACGGCGGACATGGTCAAGATCGGGACACAAGTGGAGTACACGGGCAAGAAGGGCAGGTCGGCGGGGAGGAAGACGACGGTGGTGACGGACGCGGAGGCCTTGTGGGCCATGCTCTACGCTGACGACGCGGCCATCGTCTCGCGCTCGCCGGAGAGTCTCGAGAAGATGATGTCGGTCATCGTGCGCGTGGCCGGCCTGTTCGGACTGATGGTGTCGGAGCCAAAGACGGAGATCATGTGCATGCTGCCAAAAGGGATCGAGGAACACCCGTTCACGGTCAGCGCCGCCGGCCAGACGTACAAGCAGACAGATCGGTTTGTGTACCTCGGACGTACCATCTCCGCGGACGGAAAGGTCGACCGAGAGATCACGAGCCGCACCTGCCGAGCGTGGAAGTGCTACCGCCGGAACAGTGCTTCGATGTACGACAGGCGACGGGCCGACCGCCAGCTCAAGATCCGGCTTCTCCAGGCTGAAGTGGTGGAGACTCTCCTGTATGGGTGCGCCTCGTGGAGCCTAACAGCGGAGCACTACACGAAGCTCAATGGGACCCACCGCCAGTTCCTCACACGGTGCATCGGCTGGAGCAAGCGGAAACGCTCAGACCGCCCCCTGTCCTATGCCCAGGCCCTCATCCAGGCAGGCTGCGAGGAAACCATCGAGGCCACCGTGCGCAAACGGAGACTGTGTTTCGTGGGCTTTGTTGTGCGCATGGAGGACAGCCGCCTCCCCAAGCGCATGCTGTCAGGAGCGATGGCGGGGGGCGTGGGATACCGGGGCGGGCAGGAGAGCGACTGGGTGTCTCGTCTAGGAGAGGACCTCGTGGCCTTCAACATTGGAGACGAAAAGGGAGCGGGTAAATGGAAAGAGAGCGCCAAGGACCCGGAAGTGTGGTACAACAACGTCGAGGACGGGGCGGCATGGTTCATGAGGAAATGGCACAGGCAGGAGGCGGAAGCGTCCGCGAAGCGCCAGCGCGCGCGGGAAGCAGAAGCAGAGAGTACGACCATCTCAGGACCGAAGAGAAAGA